TTAAATGACGTTGTTAACCAAACGAAAGCGAGAGTTCCAACCGCTTCCTGACACCATGTAACGTTGTGGCTTTATACCGCAACAAACGGGTTTTATTATAAACGATACTTTTAATCCCTGTCAGTTCAGAGTACAGCCTGACATGTACCTGAGCACATGTCCCATCTGTTATCCCGTTGGACAACAGCTATCACGTGACATTACAGTGAGCTGATTCTAATAATTTTTGTTTGATGCAAATTTGCTTTTTCGTGCGTGAGTTGGTTTAGTTTAAATTTCCCGTGGTGATTCGTTTTGATGTGACTTGGCTTTTTAATGTTATGCCACGAGCTGGTTTAGTTCAAATTTGCCGTGGTTGGGTTTGCTTTGTAGTGAACTGGCTTTTTTCGGCGTCAGTTGGTTCAATTATTTCGAAAGTTTCGTCCAGACGTCTGTGTCACGAGATTGCGTGAGATGAAGCTTAACATAATTAATTACGACAAATTTCACCTGAACAAACTCTGAAAATCATCTTCGCTTATGTCTTGATAGTTAACGTGGGGACCGAGTTCTCTTGGGGTGAAAACATTTTGAAGCAGTAGCAACTCCAGATCATCATCGTCTGAACTGTCGCTACCGCTTTCCGACTCTTCACCTCTGCTGTCGTCTTCAGCAAGCATTATTTCCAAAAGTTCTTGTGTAACTCGTCTTTGAATAAAAGATAAAGCTAAATTACCAACTATAGGTTTCCATTAAGGGCGAAAAAAAAAAAAAAACCCTAAGTGGGAAAATTTATGTCTTTTTTACGAGTATCGTGAAACACTCACCGTTTGGCCGCCATGTTTCCTGGTGTTGCTATTCAGGCTTGCTTACTAGTTTCCAGTCCTTTCCGGGTGTACGCGAAGCTTAAGCCCAAGAACTGAAAACCGCAAACGACAAACGTCGACCAGCCGTTTGCCGTAAACGTCATGCTTAACCTCTCCAATATCTCGCGCTTGTTGAATTTTCTTTTGACCGTTATAAACATTTTTAACTTTGCTAAACTTGGTTCAAGATTATTCATTTCATTTAAAGTTTCAAATGCTCGTGTTGCAATTTGGATTTGCAAGTAACCCTGAAAAACCAAAAAATTCTAATTAATGAAAATAAGTAAAATGACAGTGTTAAAATATAAGTATACATATAGGTTTCGCATGACTTATGCTCTCTAAACTCCTTCACAATTTGGAGTTTTGCGGCCTCAATTTTTCACTTAACCATAAAAGAGGTCAAGCATATTAAAGGGCATAATCCAACTGTACACCAACCTATACATATATATCTTCTTTTATCATTTTACCTCGGGTTCGTTTGAAAAACAAGTTGATTTTTCATCTATATGGTGCTTCCATGCTGTCAAAACAAACAGCGGATTAGTCCTGGGTCTGTAGCCATTGCGACAAATAAAGGTTAATCACCGGCAGGTGGTGTACTCCCGAATTAGTAACTGCTGTCAAGAAGGGATGCTGAATAATTTGCAGATACAAAGTCCGGCATTTCTCCACAAAGAATAAGAACAAAGTTTTCTCAACACACAAACAAGACGCAAGTGAAGGAGTTCGAGGATCTCCCAAAATTCAGCGACTTCCATAGCAACGATATAAACGACATTTATCATGCCACCTTTTTTGGGAGGAGAAAGTGGAAATTCAAGCTGTACTCAGCATCGACTTAACGAAGCTCTCGACAAGCTACAGAAAAAATCATACAAAAATACATTCTACATAAAAATGCACACCGCTCGCTTGTGGTTCCAGTTTTTATTCGATGACGTGTTTTAACTATTAAGGTCATATAGCATGCATGCTTAATCTGCCCTAGGCTCACGTTAAATGCAACAATAAAATAATTTGTCCAGCACTTCCTGACCTTCCTCAGGTAAAGTTTCTAAAGTTTATGCGCAATCAATATTCAACACTTGGCTACAGTAGCAGGTAAATTTTGAGTATTCTACAAAGTAGGATGAGTGCCGCTTACAGTACACTGACATCCTTGTTAAATGTTATAACAACCATTGACTACTTGTCAATATCGTACTTGTCAATATCGTACGTTATTGTTCGCTTTGACTTCCATACCAAATACCAATATAACTACAAGTTAGAATCAACCGCTTGCTTACTTCATTTCGACTTCTACCTCGCTTGAGGGGCAGTGTACTTGTCCTATTTTTTAGCCGTGCATAATAAAATGGCTTGATTTATCTTTAAAAAACATCTACTTGTTATACATAGATTCCCAAATACTGTGTAGGAGAAACTGTTGCCGATTATGATGATAGGAATTGTTTCCATAATTCTTGAACAAGAATTCACTCCACATTTGCGTAAAGGATGTTGTCGTAAAGTTGCATGTTGATGAGCCTCTGCGAGGAAAAAGAGAAAGAGGAAATCGATG